AACTAGACAACCAAGGAAAACCTGGAAGCACTAGACGGCCTTTTTGTTCTAGTATGGGACCCCTAAACAATGCGCATTCACGATCCCGCACCCTGCGAGTGGTCTCGTTGGTTAAGCGCCTGGCGCGAGACTGATAAGTCCTGGGTTCGAATCTCGAGTGAAGTATCGTAAATGAGCATTAATAAGGAGTCCCATACTAGAACGAAAAGGCCGTCGAGTGCTTCCAGGTTTTCTATGGTGGTCTAGCTTCAATAGACTCATGATTTCAATCAGTGAAATTTCTAAAATCTTCACAAAACCCCTTCTGATAATATTTCTTAAATATCAATATTTATTGACTGATTGCACGTAATGCATCAAACAATGATATTTTAATCATTTTTTTCCCCACGATTTAGGTTTATTTAATGATTCATTCATTCTTCTCCCTTCTAGTTTTTTTCATTCATTCCCTATTATTAATTACATCAAATTAATGAAATCACACAATGTTTAATGAATTAACAATATCACACAATTCTTTTATCACTGACTGTCTCAATTGTATAAAATGAAAATAGAATGGAATCATTTAAATACGTCTAGATATTCTAAATGAATTATGTAATCAGATTCTTCTTGCTCCCCTTCCACTCTCCCCTCTGTGAATGCAAGTTGTTGCTTTAAGATTGGTCTGTGTCAATATTTGAACTAAGGATAGGGAGTGAAGTAGTTGAACGCATTGATAACATCACTTATCATGGAAGTCTGATTAGCACTAATGGGTTGGTGTCTGACGAAATCTCTGCAAGGATTCGAAATGATGGTTTTGTTTTTGCCAACTTACGCCATCTATGGCGGAGGCGAGATATATGTCTACCATTTAAGGGACGAGTATACTGCACGGCAGTTTGTTGTGTTCTACTTTACGGCTATGAAACGTGGCCAGTAAGAGTCAGAGATCCTTCTAAGCTACTAGTATTTGATCGTAGATGTCTTAGAAATATTGTTCACGTCTGCTGGGATCACCGGGTAAATAATAGTGAGGTTTGACACAGGGTATTAGTGAATGATGGAAAATCAGTTGATGAGGTTGTGAATGTTCATCGACTGAGATTATTGGACTACGTTTTACGTATGCCTGAACACGGATTACCATGACGCACAATGCTGACTAGTGTTGGGGATGGTTGGAAGAAAATTAAAGGTGGCCAAACCAAAACGTGGTATCAGTACTTGAAGTCACAGACTTCTGGTCTGAGTCATGTTGGTAGATGCGAACTGCTTGGTTGGGGTCCACGTGACTATCGTAACCAATGGTTGGAGACTTTGTGTGACATGGCTCAGAATCGATCACAATGGCGTAGGTATATTCACCTTCTGTCTTCCTTTAAACTATGAGATTAAAAACGCTTCATATCTTTCTTTCTACCAACTAATTCTTTCTTTCTGTTCTATGTCCTTATATTCAATCTTTTATATATTACCACCATTGAATTAACTACTTCTATGAATTCGGTGTTTATCTTGTTGTGTTAATGAGTGAGGTGTGGCAACATGGACCGATTTGTGTATGTGTCTGGTCTTACGTTGTAACTGACTAACTGTCTGAATCGGATTCTTGATTTTATATTTTTCCCGTACATTAACTATGTTCAAGTCGATGTGATTGTTTCCAATCATTATATATATGTTGAACACATAATATGTATGCCTATTTATTTAGATTATTTACATTATCCATTGTGTCATTGAATGAAAGTAAAGAGAATTTTCATTTCTACGAAATCATTTACCTAAACTGTATATTCGTATTTATAGTTATATGGTGTGACGATAGAAAAGATACTTACCATCTTGAATCACTTTATGGTACAATCTTTTCTTCTAGTATGAGATTCCTCACCAGCGCGCATCCATTATTCCGCACGTGGTACTCGAACAGGACCTCCGGTCTCATGCTCGAACACTTAACCTCTAAACCATCAAAACGGCATCTAAAGGTGTTAATGTCTAACTTCCATCGATTTATGAATGGCTGCGCAACCATTTACCTATGTTGAGAAGTCCCAAACTAGGACAAAACAGCTGCCCAATGCTTCTGTGTTTTCCATGATGATCTAACATCAATCGATTAATGATCTCAATCAAAAACTTAATCTGCATAACCAATATTGATATCAACCTTTTCTATCCTTGCATTTACGTGCTAATACAAAGTCATTCGTTATACATTTTCAATGAAGTAGAAACATATAAATAAACTGGTTGTAAATGCTGTTAGTAATAAAACATTCATCAAAGAACAGAGGTAATACTTTGGATCAATAGCATTCTTTGTAAGTGTCACATAAAGAATTCGGTAAGACTATCATGTATGGACGAATTGATCACCATATCAGTGTAATCTATTTCAATTGAAGATCTAGATAGCACAATATTAAATGCAGAATGGTAATTTATGAACAGTGAAAAAATTTAACAAAATGAAAGGCTGATAAGTTAGCTAATTGAGCTATATATATATCAAATATCAATCTATCATCTCAGATTTCATTATTCTTTGGTTTCCATACCAATCATTCTTTGTTCTCGTTCACTTTTCTTTGATCTTCTTCACCTTCTACCGTAAGAAATTTCACTTTCGATTGATGATACATACTACTTATATCTATAGCACACACCACACTCACCCACCTCCCTTTAAAGCAGTTGTTCTTCAGGTGGTTCTGCTCGCCATACTACTTTCTTCTCTGCAGTCTGTATTGCGCTCTTCGTTAAAGTGTTGAGCCTACAGCGCATTGACCTCCATGGCTCCATCGATGTGACGGGCCACCAAAACCCGATGTTTACCGAGCATTTGGGACATTCAACACCTGCGCTCCTGCAACCTGCTGAGCCATCTAAATCCAGTCTTCACCCAGCAGCTGCATGTCCTACTGCTCCTCTCCGTCGACAGTAACTGCTACAACTAATACCACCCCTCCAGAACACTTCATTCGACGTCACCTCTGCTCATCAGACCACTCTAACTAGCACCTCAAATTCAGTCCCACAACACCATCTAACAATCATTATGAATATCAGATCAAATATCTATACTTATTAATTCCATTAATGATAATTATATAAAAACCTTTTTGTTTCTATTCATTATTGAATAAAGGTCTTCAACTAATAAATGATCAATTAATTATAATTACTGCTTATTATTATTATTGAACAGGATTTGATTAAAACAATTTAAGGTCGAATAAGAAGCGTTTCATTGAAACATAAATGATAATTATATTCCTTAAATATTATTATTATTATTCTTAATAAAAACGATTTACATCATGTTCATGGTTAAGGTTATTGGTGCATAAAAATAACTATACAATATCTTTACTACTATTATTATTATTATTATTACTATCATTACCATTACTATTACTATTATTAGTATTACTGTTATTATTATTATTGCTATTGTTATTACTACTACTACTGTGGTGCGTGCTACTTATATTGATCTAAGTAGCATATTATGCGAGTCAGGAATGTCTTGTTCGCTACACTACTACTGTGTTGTGAACTACTTATATTCACATAAGTAGCATATAACAATAGTCAGGAATGGTATGTATTTTGGTAGGAAAGAACGGAAACGGAAAGCAATTGATATGAAAATTCAATAGAAATGAAATCTGAGATGATTGATTGACATTCTGCAAAAGGAACAGTCAAGTTTTAGACCGTTGATTAATATTTTGAAAATTAAATATTTACTGTATAGTTCTAGGATTTTAGTAAAATGTTTTGTAATTCCATGTTTAATTGTGTTCGATTGTTCTAACTCGTGTTCTTGTTCATTACACTGCTACTATTAATATTATTATTATTTCAATAGTTGAGATTATGAGTCAATTGAAGTTAGACCACCATCGAGAACCTGAAAGCACTGGACGGCCGTTTCGTCCTACTATGGGACAAGATCCCGTCTCGCAAGATTCGAACCGAGGACCTATTGGTCTCGTGTGAGGTGGGCCTGTAGATTCTCACTGCTGAGAAGTCCCACAGTAAGACGAAACGGCCATCCAGGTTTTCCATGGTGGTCTAGCTTTTCAGTCCAAGTTTTCAATGGTTCAACATCAATCGGTTCATGATCTCTACCAAAAAATCAGCTTCAAACTATGAATTCAATCGTTAAATTACCTTCTCCTTTCAGATCACTAATTTTCATCCATTTAAATAGGAATTATCATTTCACCTAATAATTCATAATGATGAATGAATGACATGTGATTTGACCACTTTTTCATTGTTTACAAGTGGTAGAGTTGAATTTATACTTCGAATCCACTTGTAAAATATTTACATTTGAATAAATAACTTTAAAATAGTTACACGTGACTTATATTTTTTGAAAAAACAAGGAACTTATTAAATCAACTTGGCATTGTTTATATGAATGTCTCCATCATTGTTCAGGACTGAAATTGGCATATGTCCATCCTATGCAGATTGTCTTTATATTGCTTTAAGTCACAAGTTTTATAGAAAAAGATGGATAATGGCTAGCAATGTAGTTCAAAATGCATGTTTCGTCCTATTTCGGACTCGTCAGCTGGATTTATTTGCATCGCAGTGTTGATAGTCACTTCAGAACTCGAACCCACTACTGTTCGTTTCCAAGACCTTATTATTCAAAAACTAAGAAATCTCGGTCAAACTTACACTGATTAAAACTGTGAATCTAACATACCTTAAGACTGGATAACGTTATTCATTGTTTTTAATGATGTTAATAATGTATAAGTGAACTAACATATCAACAATGAACATCTAAAACCTTATATATATTAGAGTCTACAATATTTTAGGCTGAAACTGAACGCTTTATCTTTAAATAAATAGGTTGGAGTCCAACAATCTACATACGTAGCTCAAACTATTGTCTATATGAGTTGACAACCGTCTAATATCACAGAAGATACGTATCTTATGTGAGACACAGTAATCAAACTCAAATACTATTGATGATGATGATGATGATGATGATGATGATGATGATGATGATGATGATGATGATGATGATGATGATGATGATGATGATGATGATGATGATGATGATGATGATGATGATGATGATGATGATGATGATGATGATGATGATGATGATGATGATGATGATGATGATGATGATGATGATGATGATGATGATGATGATGATGATGATGATGATGATGATGATGATGATGATGATGATGATGATGATGATGATGATGATGATGATGATGATGATGATGATGATGATGATGATGATGATGATGATGATGATGATGATGATGATGATGATGATGATGATGATGATGATGATGATGATGATGATGATGATGATGATGATGATGATGATGATGATGATGATGATGATGATGATGATGATGATGATGATGATGATGATGATGATGATGATGATGATGATGATGATGATGATGATGATGATGATGATGATGATGATGATGATGATGATGATGATGATGATGATGATGATGATGATGATGATGATGATGATGATGATGATGATGATGATGATGATGATGATGATGATGATGATGATGATGATGATACAAGAGGCAAATTCCTATTAAACTAAACTAATTTTTACAACCTGTTTCACTTGATAGTTTGTTACATTGAACAGAAACAATACAAACAACATTATTCACTATGAAAACATTTTCAAGTCATACAACAACAACAACAACAGCAACAACAAAAACAACAAAGAACATGAACTAAATTGAATCGAAAACATAAACAACAAAAATATCGAATTTACGAGATAGAAAAAAGAAAAGAGACAGTAAAATTCAATGAGAAATGATTGAACATTTCTGTTTCCTGGAACAAAATTCTTTCTTTTCTTCTTTTTTGTTTTAATATTTCTGCTTTACACAAAAACAATAATGCATTGAAACAAACAAACAAAACAATTACCATGATGATGATATTAATAATAATCATAGTAATAATAATAGTAATCTTAGTAATCAATTCATTGATTAGTAAACAATTACTTTTATTATTAAAACAAAGAGTCAACTAGAAGTTGTGGATAGTTGAATGTTGAACACCTTAAACTATTAATTAATCAATAATAATAATAATATATATATACTACTAATATTAATACTACTTATACTAATATCCATAATTGTTTATGTATATTAATAAGCCTAAATAATTTTCATTAGAATAATCAAAAGATTAATAATAATGACTTATTTTTATTCTAAATTCAATTATCAATAATGTACAATTGAACATTCAGGCAAATAATTACAAATATGAATTTCATTTATATTAATATTATTATGATTGATGAATTCAATTATTGAATTTACTAATAAGATCTATAAAAAGTCCTCTTTGATGATAATCATAATATGCACATTAGTGATTGGCTTCAAGAGTTATTTCCTGGTGTGGAGTTCAACCGAATCTGTTGTTAGATAGTAACTGACTGATGACAATGATGGATGTATCGCTCAATTTCGTGGGTTACTTGATGTTAGATAGTAACACCGTTGGATGTCGGCCAGCTCAGTAATGTAGAGGCTAGGCGTTCGCGTGTGAGACTGATAGGTTCTGTGTTCGCATCCCTCGAAATGGGATCATGGATGCGCACTGCCATTGGGGAGTCCCATAATAGGACAAAATGGCTGCCCGGGGCTTCTCGGTTCTAAGTAGCAGTCTAACATCTTTCGGTTCATGATCTGTATCGAATACCTAATATTCAACCAAGTATTCAACCTGTTAGTCTCATATAATTAACTTTATAGTACTACTGCTACCACTAATACTACTATTACCACTACTACTACTACTACTACGGTAGTGTTCAGTCCATAACATACTGGACTTCAATTAATTGACAACATTAAATGACCGTAATTCGTAGTATATGAGTAAATCATTTGTCTATACACAGATTTATTTCACAGCTATTGAACAATTACTAATAAAAATAGATTGAACAGAATTAGTTTGGCACTTGTTAAACGCTTTTAGTAGTTATTCCTCTTCATAATTCCTTTGCTTATCGAACATAACAGATAACAGAACAATATTACCATCAATCAGATTCGCATTAGCCTTTGTTTTAATATAGATGAATCTTTATTTGAAATTATTAAACTGGTTAAGGTAAATCATGAATCAATAATCATAAAGAAATAGATACGTAATCGGTAAAAAGCATAAATAGATAGTAAGAAGATGGGTATACTAATAATAAGGATGAGAATAACAAAATGATGTAAGCTATAATCAATAGTTTGGCACAAGAAATAGGTCAAACTTCAATAAATAAACATTAAACTAATCACTGGGCAATAATTAAAATTATTTCAATGGTTGATATCATGAGTAAATTGAATCTAGACCAATATGGAAAACCTGAGAGCAATGGATGCCCGTTTCGTCCCATCGTCAGACTCCTCAGTGGCAGTGAGCATCCATGATACCGTCTCGCCAGATTCGAATATAGGACCTATCAGTGTCGCGCACGAACACTCAACATCGAGACCACTAAGGTGATATCCAACAGTGTTAATATGTAAATTCAACTGATCCACGAGATTGAGCGACACATCCACCACTGTCACCACTCAGTTACTATCTCACAACAGACCCTGTTGAACTCCACTAGTCACTGCTTCTCATTACAACTCCAGAAAATACCTCTTGAATCCAATCACTAGTGAGCATATGTTGATTAATATGAGAAGGAGTTTTTTGTGGATATTCTAGTAATTTCAATAGTTGAGATCATGAGTCAATTGAAGCTAGACCACGAAGGAAAACTTGGAAGCACTGGACGGTTGTTTCGTCCTACTGTGAGGCTCCTCGATGGCAGTACGCACTCACGATCCCGTCTCGCGAGATTCAAACTCAGGACCTATCAGTCCGGCGCGCAAACGCTTAATCCCGACACCACTGAACCGACCGGCATCCAACGGTGTTAATGTCTAACGTCAAAAACGACGACTAAATATAGGTTGGGAAAAACGGTGTAATCATCCAACCTAGAAAGCGATAAGAGTATCACAAAGCAATAGGAAAGGTGATGAAATTGAACCCTATTCAGAACTGTTGAAGGGAAATATGTCTTTTCACTATCAATTTCCACTTTTTATTGTGATCTTTGTATTACAAACTGTTTTGATTGGTTTAATCATTTTTAATAAAATATATATTAGATTAAAGTCTGATAACAGTCTAATTGAAAGCAATATTGTTCACTTATATATATTGTTTTAATTACTATAATGTATGTGAAAAACTTAAGACTAGCATCCACGTTAGTCAGAATGATATTAGCTCAAACTACTACACCACACTCATCAATGTATACTTATAGTGAAAGAAATTCAAAATTAAAAAGAGTGATTTAATCTGACCATTGAATATCGAATGTTATGTAACTGTGTGTATATGAAATAATGTCAGATGGTTACAGGAGTCACCTCCAATAATGCCGCATGAGAACAAATTAATGTGAAACAACAAATATCAATTATGCAGAAGAATAATTTGAGTTTGACTCGCAAATAAGCAAATAATAAAACAATCCTTATCAATGACAGGATGAAAAGCAAATATCCGACGTTTTAACCGGGGTGGTGGACACGGAAAGTCCACCTAAGGGAGTTGGAACACCCTCATTCCAAGCCAATGATGCACATAGGCTCCAGGACCTTGAAGGAACAAATGGCGTATAAACCAATCGTGATCATCGGCTACCATTGGACTGCATCTTGTGACTTTGCTTCACTGCCTTGTGGATCAGACCTTCATGTTGATATCTCTGGGAGTAGCCCTGTCTAAGATAACTACCTGCTTCGGTTTGTGTTGTAACGTGTGGACTGCAGGTCAGATGCGCAACGTATTTATCGATCGCTTCTGTGACACGTAAACACGTAATGGACGACCTAGAGTCCCGATTCGCCCTGCTTCGCTGTCTAGCCCAGCCAGTTGAGTCCAGAACACAAGTCTTAGCTTCTGAGATTTGAATCATTATATTTCAGACATATTCTATTTATATACCAATCAACCAGACCACATCGTACCATAAAATAGAAAACAACATTTACACAATATTCAACAAGTGAAATAAATATCGGCAAATAGGGAGTGTATATTTAAAGTCCAAGGCCACCATTAGACTTAACATGATAATTATTGGTATATCTCGAAATTCTTGAAAATCTTATTAGTAGATAGTTGATCACTGGGATAGTCAGCGTGCGACAAAAATGCACCAGGTTCTTGACTATTATTTGATGCGTGTGACATATTTTCTGCCACGAGGGGTTCTTCTTTTGAGCTGGACTCCTCACTGTCTGTACATGTTTCGGGCAGTGGGATTCGAACCCACGACAGGGCATGTTTCTGAATTGAACATTTCTGGATCGCTGGACGGATCATGAGCGACTGCCTCGTTTGCATTACTGCTCGTCAGGGATCCATATAGGCTTTTATTGGCACATTTATACGTCCTGCAGTCATTTTCGAGTTCAGTATGCAAGTGAGAAATTACTTCATCAATTTCTGTCACATCTCCGAAACATGGGAGATCTAGCAGTCGTTTGCGGAAATTGTCCAAAACATTCAACTGGCTCTTTCTGAAACGCTGGTGTTGACGGTCAAGTAGTAACTGCAATTAATCGGGAAGGATAATCATTTTCTGAATCAGCAGGGTAATGAGAAATAATGTGATCAATTAACAACCAATGACTCCCAAGGACGCTTTTGACGAACCTGGATACTGATTGGTCAAAACAATTATGCTGAATCTCGTCCAATTAGAGGGTTCAAAATTTTCACTACCCCGTCGCCAGTTGTTGTAACGTGTGAGACTGCAGATTTTGATGTTAGAACGTGATTGAAAACCTGGAAGCACTGGACAGCCGTTTCGTCCTATTGTGGTACTCCTTAGCAGGACGAGACGGCCATCCAATGCTTCCAGGTTTTTAATGGTGATCTAACACCAACTGATTCATGATTTCAATCAAATACGAAATAATCCCCATAACTCTATATTTATAATAATCTATCGAAGAATTTATGAATTAGTATCAGAAGGGGTTTTGTGGATACTATAGTAATTTTAATAGTTAAGATCATCAGTCAGTTGAAGCCAGACCACCAGGTAAAACCTGGAAGCACGAGACTGATGGGTCGTAGGTTCGAATCCCGTGGGACAGATCCGTGGATGCGCACCACCACTGGGGAGTTTCACAATAGGACGAAACAACCGTCCAGTGCTTCCAAGTTTTCCTTCGTGGTCTAGCTTCAATTGACTCATGATCTCAACTATTGAAATTACTAGAATATCCACAAAAAACTCCTTCTCATATTAATCAACATATGCTCACTAGTGATTGGATTCAAGAGGTATTTTCTGGAGTTCTAATGAGAAGCAGTGACTAGTGGAGTTCAACAGGGTCTGTTGTGAGATAGTAACTGAGTGGTGACAGTGGTGGATGTGTCGCTCAATCTCGTGGATCAGTTGAATTTACATATTAACACTGTTGGATATCACCTTAGTGGTCTCGATGTTGAGTGTTCGTGCGCGACACTAATAGGTCCTATATTCGAATCTGGCGAGACGGTATCATGGATGCTCACTGCCACTGAGGAGTCTGACGATGGGACGAAACGGGCATCCATTGCTCTCAGGTTTTCCATATTGGTCTAGATTCAATTTACTCATGATCTCAACTATTGAAATTTATGAATTTTCGAGTGCTTGCAGTTCCTAAATTCTCTATATTGAATAGATACTGGAAAATTGAATATAAGTTCACTGTTTTAATAATCACGTTTAATACTGATAAGAATTGGAGTAATTAAGCATATAATGACCATGACTTATAACAATTTTCCAGGTTGTTTAGTAAACTAAATATGAAAATAGGATAAGTTTTTTGTTGGTTTATTTAATCGATTGGGGATTATTTATTGAACAGAATAATACTGTTCATCTCATTCAATTAAGATACTACATCATACTCAATTTTCATGACT